GCAGAGGCTTCGGTGAATTGCTGACAGCATGCTGATCGTTCACCGAAGTGTTCACGTGGAAGTTCAGAGCGTCAAATCTATATACAGTAAACCACGGTTATAACGAACTCAAAGGGACTATTATTTTTAGTTCGTTATAACCATAGTTCGTTATAAGCATATATACAGCATAATTACAGCAAATAGTCGGGACTAAAAAAAGTAAGTTCGTTATATCCGTCAGTTCGTTTTAAGCGTGTTCGTTATAACCGTAGTTTACTGTAGTTTGATAGAAATCTGGGACAGGTCAAATATTCAAGGGATAGGTGGGTCGGGGGTGGGGGTGGGGGGTGGGGGGGAATCGGGGGGGGGGGGGGTCGTTAAAAATAATACACATATTTTGGGAGGGTCATGTAAAAAATGGACAAGGACATGGGGAGGGTCATCCAAAAATGTGATAAGCATTAGGAGAAAGTCACTAGTGAGTAAGTGAGTTGGGTTTAACGTCGCTTTTAACAGTATTGCAGTTATATCGCCGCATGTCCGTTTAATGTGGGAGGGAAGCCCGAAGTGATGCAGGTCTCAGACGTTTACCACTTCAGTGAAACCCATGAGCACGGGTTTCTTGACAAACCAAAAACATAATCGGGACGAACCGGGATCCGAACACACAATCATAGATTTTTGGCGTGCCCAAGGGACGTAACTCTGCACAGCGAATCGCGGCGCCTGAGATGACCGGGCCAGTTTCAGAACATTAGTGTATCAAAATCCTCTGCATCACTTCTGGTATTCATCCCACACGAAGCGGACGAGCCGTGATATAATCAGAGTACTTTTCAAAGCGGCGTTTAAACCAATCCACTCTCGCTGATGTTTTCCGAATACCGAATGATAACTGTCATCAATTTACTGTTAATATTGTTATATGTTGCACGATAAGCTGGAAATCTGAGCAGCACTCTGAATGATATGTTGAGTGAGTGAGTGAGTGAGAGAGTTGGGTTTAACTCCACTTTGAACAGTATCCCAGTTATCCCACGGCGGGTCAGCTTGATGTGGGAGGAAAGTCCGAAGTGATGCAGTCCAAAAGCGTTTTTCATTTTGGTGGAGCCCACGAGCACGAAACCTAGAAACGTTGTTCGAGATTTGCTAATGCCTGCATGTTGTATAATAATTCTGTAAAGACACACTTGACCGAATATATGCTTTGAGAAAAATTAAGCATGCTTCAGAGCGTTGAAAAAAATAAAATCGTGTCGCAAAATGGTTACAAAAAATATATTTAGGCTTATACTTTTAATTACAACAATACGTGGCTTTTCAGTTGTTGCTGAAAACGACCCGTGAAGATCCGGGGTAGAATATGTCTTCAGCAACCTATGCTTGCCGTAAAAGGCGACCCTGCTTGTCATAAGAGGCACAATTAAGATCTATTTATTGTCTTTGGTGGTAATTTATACAGAAATAAAGATTTTTTTCTAAAAGAAAAGGGGGGGTGCGCGATAGTAAGTCCTACGTAGGAGATAATAAGTCCTACGTCGGAGATATTAAGTCCTACGTAGGAAATACTAAGTCGTATGTAGGAGATAGTAAGTCCTACGTAGGAGATAGTAAGTCCTACGTAGTTGATAATAAGTCCTACGTAGGAGATAGTAAGGCCTACATGTACGTAGGAGATAGTAAGGCCTACGTAGGAGATAATAAGTCCTACGTCGGAGATAATAAGTCCTACGTAGGAGATATTAAGTCCTACGTAGGAGATACTAAGTCCTACGTAGGAGATACTAAGTCGTATGTAGGAGATAGTAAGTCCTACGTAGGAGATACTAAGTCCTACGTAGGAGATAATAAGTCCTACGTAGAAGATAGTAAGTCCTACGTAGGAGATAATAAGTCCTACGCAGGAAATACTTAGACAAAAAACATTCACCGTGGCCCTACTACGCTTCCGTAGACAAAGCTGATTTTTTTAGCAATATTAACAATGGATGAGTCTGGAGTTCACCACTGTCAGCAAGGGACTAAACAACAGTCAAAGCAGTGGTAGCATCTAACGTCTCCTCCCCAGAAGAAGACAAACTCTCTTCCTCCAGCGGGCAAGGTTATGGCCTCGCTTGTTTCTGGGAATACAAAGAATTCCTATCAGTGGACTACCTCCCGAAAGGTCAAACAGTTAATGGTCAATATCATGCCAATGTGCCTAATCTGCGTAAAATTGCATGGCTACACCTCGTGGAAAATTCACTAAAGGTATGTTATTCCACCCGGACAATGCACAACGAGTCTGTTGTCCCCATGGCAGCAATACATGCCTGCGGCTTTAAACATCCCCCGTATTTACCAGCTTTGGCTCCGTCAGATGTCAACCTGTTCCCAAACTTGAAGGGCGCCCGGTTGGCCCAGTCGTCTAAGGCGTCGCGATTCGCTGTGCAGAGTTGCGTCCCTTGGGCAAGCCAGAAACCTATGATTGTGGGTTTGAATCCGAGTTCGCCCCGATAATGTTTCTAGGTTTGTCAGCACCATACCCGTGCTCGTTGGTTTCACCGAAGTTGTAAACGTCTGAGACCTGCATCACTTCGGGCTCTCCTTCCATATTAAGGTGACACGCGGTGATATAACTTTAATACTGTTAAAAGCGGCGTTAAACCCAACTCTCTCACTAACTCCCAAACTTGAAGAAAGAACAATCTGGAAAGCATTATGACATAACGATGGAGTCTTTTCTGGTGTAGAGAACTTTTACCCCACCAGGAGGAAGCCTTCTACACCACTGGGATCAAGGCAGTTCAGCATCGTTAGCAGAAGTGTGTGGAACTCGGAAGGGAACATTTCGGAAAACAATTAGCAACAAGTCCATCAACGCAGTCAGTCACCTATGCATGTTACACGTGTCGCTTGAGAGTGTACGGGATTTTACGGCCTGAAAGGGCTTGTACTCCACGGACCTGTGGACCCGTTAGTAACACACGTAATAAGAAAGATATATTGGTCACACACAAATATGTCACCGAAAATATGTCTTTGTAACAAAACCCTTTCCACATTCATAAGAAATCTGGGCTAACAGTGACGCCCATTGTACTAGTCCGACTATTTCATGAGCTGTGTTTATGAATCACTATCAAATAATGACGTTACTTGATTTTCGCCAAAATGTGAGCGTATACAGCGTATAGGTGGCACCCGTCATAAACACATGCAAAGGCAAGTCAACTGTTCACCTTAAAAAAACACGTGTCAGTAGCGGGTGTACGGAATTTTACTTACGTGTACGCCACGCGACTTTCAGTATCAAGTAACGCATCTAACCCATACCATTTACTGCCAAAGATAAAGTAAACAAATTAGTACAAATAAGGGGACGGATTTATAGGAAATTATGAAAATATTTTTTACTTGAAGCTAATTTGCTTGGTCAGAACTATTTTGGCACTGTTTTGCTTGTTAGCAAAGAATATCTTAGAAATGTTGCCTATGGTCATCATCATCATCATCATCATCATCAGTTATTCACGAAGTATAGGCCATCGGCCCATTACATGTTGCAACGGTGCTACAGCCAATTATTGATATTTCTTTTCTCAAATTATTAGCATAGAAAATAAATATTCCTGTATTTTGTAAGGTATTCGAATTGTTTTCAGACATTAACATGTACAATTTGTGTAAACTAGGAGATTTATAATACTTTTTGGGGACATACAATTACCGAAGGTGTTCATATGCACAACATATCAATATTAAATGGTATTCACTTTCAACATAAGCGCAGCTACATATATCACATACTCTTTGGTTTCTTGGCATGCTTACGTTTTTACCAGTTTCTATATTTAGACTGTGTATGCCACATCTTAACCTTGCCAAAGCCACAGGAAACTTGTTTCCAGTGACACAGCCAATATATGGTTCCACGCCAAAAATTGGTTTACGTTAGGAGTACGGGAAGGTTTTATAGCCTAGGGTTAGTCCATTGTCTCACATAACTGAAGTATTTGTTCATGACCCCTTTTATGCGTTTTCATCAGAGGTCATTGGAAAACAGAAACTAAGCCGGTGTTGTTTAGCCGTTTCTTTTTTGTCGCAATAGGAATACACTTCTAACCAGTGATTGAGTAAGTTGGCTCTTAACGAACAGTATTTCACTTATATCACGGGATGTCCGCTTGCTCTGGGATTAAAACCCGAAGTAATGCAGGTCTCAGAAGTTTATCACTTTGGTGATTCCCTCCAGCACGGGTGACAAACCTAGAAACGTAATCGGGGCGAACGGGGTTCCACCACACGAATCAAGGTTGCACAAGGGACGCAATTCTGCACAGCGAATTGTGGCGCCTCAGACGACTGGGCCACGGGTGACAAACCTAGAAACGTAATCGGGGCGAACCGGGATTCCACCCCACGAATCAAGGTTGCACAAGGGACGCAATTCTGCACAGCGAATTGTAGCGCCTCAGACGACTGGGCCACGAGTGACAAACCTAGAAACGTAATCGGGGCGAACCGGGATTCCACCCCACGAATCAAGGTTGCACAAGGGACGCAATTCTGCACAGCGAATTGTGGCGCCTCAGACGACTGGGCCACCCGTGCCCCCAATCTGCTTATGAAGGAAGCCTGTTGGTACAGATACTCCCTGAATCTCTGAGCCTCATCCTATATTTTTGTTCACGACCAGATATATATTATGTACTTTAGTGTATACCATATATATGTACTAAAGTACCAAAGTATCATTTAATAAAAAAAAGACTTTTTGATGGTCCCGGAGTTCCCCCAAAGCAATAGATGTCTTTGAAAACTACATTGGCAGGTGCTCGCTTTTCAATAATCTATTTGCCATCATTATTCCTTGAAATCGCAATAAGGAACTCTTTTATATTAAAAGTCAAATTATTAACCATTATTTCGATAAACAATCCCAATTACTTGTCAATCGAATTGCCTGTCCTTGGCGATACCATTTTCAGTGTTATCATCAACGTTTGTTTTGACCTTTCAGTGTAACAGACACTCACCCTTGGCGCCTCCTACAAAGACGCTGACTTGGAACATCAGCACCAATTCCAGCCTCATTGTGTTGTGTTCCGCTCACGACGAAATACTTCAATTTCGATGTGTCTAAATGTTTACACGTTTCCTTTTGAAAATACACATCGTACAAAGTGACAGTAGTTTTGAAAATCCATCTTTCCTAATTGGAAACGTCACATCTTCAGCTACACAACCAGTAGCAACTACCATTTATGTTACAAAACACTCAGCAATGCACTAGGAGACTTGTGGTTCACTTGTCCATACAACCAGTCAGGCGTGTCAGGTGTCGCAGTAGCCTTTGAAAAATAGAACCGAGGAACTACGTGTTCTTCTTGCCAGAAAGACCTGCTAGGGTGGTCTACGCCAGTCTCCTTCAGACCATACACAAATCATCCGCTGTAAAATATAATCCCTTTTAGATGCATCAGCTTCAGTTTTCAATCCAAGACATAAAATAAAGTCCCACGCTGATGTCTTCTTCGGATCTACCCGGTTACTTCAGAGACATAATTTAATCGATTAAGAACCAGCAACATACATTCTAATGCTGCTTGATCGATCGGGAGTTGTCTCCAGAGAGCAAGCCGTCATGCCTGAGGACTTGTATTCTTTCAGCATCCTCTGTTGGTCTGAAAAAGCAAATTGCTTTCGTTGTATTTTTTTTGTTTCGTCCATTGTTATGGTATTTTATAATGCGAAATTGTAGAATGGATTGCTTGCATCGTGTTAATATTACCACACCAAAGACACAGTTGTCGAGGTTTTAGTCGTCGGCTTTCGTTGTGACATGACAACTGAGAAGATGTGGAATGTTTGCAGGATAACGTTATGAACTGGACTCGCAGTTTAAGAGGAGGCAAAAGTACATACTTCGTCAGTGAATGGGGTTTAGACAATAGTCATTGTGTGATAGATGGAATCTGCGTGTTTCAGAAAAAATAAACAGCGGTCAATAGTATGAGCAAACAATCTTCGAGTAACATGATAATAAATAAAACTATTTCCATTATCATAAGCAATATCTGCTAAAAGGTCCATTGTACGTTTCCGACATTTTCATAAGCATACGTTATGAATCCCATCAAATAGTGATGATACGAGGTGTTCGTAAAAAGGTGAGCATATCCTGTCCCGCCTATTGTACCGGTCACAAACACATGCAAAGGCAAGTAAGTTGGGACTTGCATCGGGCATCCCCATCGGGGTCAAATTTGGAACTGTCCCCCACAAAGGCTATTTTAGGGGTGCAACATGCAAGTGATTCATTCAAGCAAAGCCTTGGTGATCAGCCGATCACTGGCAGCGGTATTATTAAATATGACAATAAAATACGGATATGGATCATGAAATACGGTCCTACTATAAAATCTCCACGATGTCAATATATTTATATCATGGATAAGGTGGGTTGGTATTCAAGCAGATCGATAGAGAAATACGACGGAGCGTGTCGTAAGTGGTGATACGGGTTAGCAATGGTTCTCAGCATCCTATGCTTGTCGGTGAATGGATCTTGTGGTCAGGTTCGGTGACTTTGTTGGTCTTATATCATCGTACTCCGACGTCTCTTTTATTTATAGGACGCTGTGATATAGCCGTACTTTTGACACTGTTAATCACGAAACAAACAAACGTGTAGTGAGTGTTTGTTTGTTGTTAACAGACACGTTTAGCAACAGTCAAGCTATATGATGGTGGTTTGTAAATAAACGAGTCTGGGCCAGATTATCCAGTGATTGACATCATGAGCATCGATCTACGCAATTGGTATACGATGACATGCATCAACTGAGCCAGTGAGCCTGATCATCCGATCCCGTTAGTTGCCTCTTACGACATGGTGAATGAGCGATGTGGTTCCCATTATATGCAATGGTTTTGCTTTATCGCAGTGAATAGCCGTGCGTGTGCTATACAGCATCTGTACAAGACTGTGAGACAAGAGGGACGCCTTCGCAACTTTCCAGTAGTCAGCTTTCCCTTTATTGCGAGCACTGTTCCTGCAGCTCCAGCTTTTGGTGTGTACATTTCATACAAACAATCAAGCATGCTCTTTCCACCAAGATTTCAAAGAGCTCTTTGCGACTCTTGCTCAAAGGGTGCCAAGGCCTCAGTAAAGCTTTCAAAACGTTTTATTGTAGACACGTGAACTACGTGACAAAAAGTATGTCCGATGCGATTCCCAATCTAAACTTGTACCAAATGTTCCAGTGTTTTTATCAGTTGAAGACTTGACTTGCCTTTACGTGTGTTTGGGACGGGTGCCACCGATGGGGCAGGATACGTTCACCTTTTCGCGACCACCTGGTACCTTCACTACAACATAGGGATTCATAAACACATGCTCATGATACAGTCGGAATTGTACAAAGGACTCTTAAGTAGAGATTCTTTCATGAATAGGGAAAGGGTTTTGTTCTCTTTTATAGCAGATAGGTAAGAAGATTTTCAGGTACGTTAGAGAGTCATGTTGACGTCTAAGGGGTTGTACTGATGCATCTTGGCCTAGTGTAAGTGGAATTGTCTTGAATTTCCTTTTGAGGAGAAAGATGGATTCGCGGAATTGGGCCCAGTGTTTTGTGTAAACTATTGCAACCTTCCGCTCACAATACTGCACTCAAAGGATTTTGCCACAGGTTTTAATTAAGTATTAAGTATGTTTTAAACACACACACACACACACACACGCACGCACGCACGCACGCACGCACGCATGCACGCACGCATGCACGCACACACACAGACCTTAGTACAGATAAGCGGATCGACCGACCATCGCACGTGCTAAAAGGGGGAAAACGACAAAGAATGTGATACTGGAATGTACACACAATTTTGCTAAGTGCATCACAATATCCAATCAATATGAGGGTGCCACGGAAAATGTACATGTCTTTAATCAATAATCATGTTACCTTTTTTTAAAAAAACCCAGATCTGCTTCACTATGATCCAAATAATAGAATAGATTTATGTATCGATCATATAGCTGTCGGGTGATGATACCAAAATAGAACACTACTTGAAGATAAGTGGGAATGTGCAGTGAACGCACTTGATGGCTCCTGTCCCTGAACTATGTGTGTATACCTGAAAGTATGTGTGTGTGTGTGCGTGGCTTAAATGAGAGTATGTGAAGGGTGGGTGTGTATGTGTATGTGCGTGGCTAAAATGAGGGTGTGTGAAGGGTGTGTGTGTATGTGTATGTGCGTGGCTAAAATGAGGGTGTGTGAAGGGTGGGTGTGTATGTGTGTGTGCGTGGCTTAAATGAGAGTGAGTGTGTGTGTGTGTGTGTGTGTGTGTGTGTGTGTGTGTGTGTGTGTGTGTGTGTGTGTGTGTGTGTGTGTGTGTGTGTGTGTGTGTGTGTGTGTGTGTGTGTGTGTGTGTGTGTGTGTGTGTGAAGGGTGGGTGTGAAGGGTGGGTGTGTATGTGTGTGTGCGTGGCTTAAATGAGAGTGTGTGAAGGGTGTGTGTGTGTGTGTGTGTGTGTGTGTGTGTGTGTGTGTGTGTGTGTGTGTGTGTGTGTGTGTGAAGGGTGGGTGTGTATGTGTGTGTGCGTTGCTTAAATGAGAGTGTGTGAAGGGTGGGTGTGTATGTGTGTGTGCGTGTGTGCGTGCGTGTGTGCGTGTGTGTGTAGGGTGGGTGTGTATGTGTGTGTGCGTGGCTTAAATGAGAGTGTGTGAAGGGGTTGTTTATGTGTGTGTGTGCGTGGCTTAAATGAGAGTATGTGAAGGGTGGGTGTGTATGTTTGTGTGCGTGGCTTAAATGAGAGTGTGTGAAGGGGGTGTGTATGTGTGTGTGTGCGTGGCTTAAATGTGAGTGTGTGAAGGGTTGGCGTGTATGTGTGTGTGCGTGGCTTAAATGAGAGTGTGTGAAGGGGGTGTGTATGTGTGTATGTGCGTGGCTAAAATGAGAGTGTGTGAAGGGTGGGTGTGTATCTGTGTGTGCGTGGCTTATATGAGAGTGTGTGAAGGGTGTGTGTGTATCTGTGTGTGTGTGGCTTATATGAGAGTGTGTGAAGGGTGTGTGTGTATCTGTGTGTGCGTGGCTTATATGAGAGTGTGTGAAGGGTGTGTGTGTATCTGTGTGTGCGTGGCTTATATGAGAGTGTGTGAAGGGTGGGTGTGTGTGGTGTGGTGGGGGGGGGGGGGGGGGGGGGTGTTCGATGGTGGGAGGTAAATGGGATTAAGACTAGAATCGTTCGACTGTGGCACGGCATGTATCTGTTACCTATAAGCTGTGTGTCAAGCAGTACACGGCATGTATATGTTACCTATAAGCTCTACATCAAGCAGTACACGGCATGTATCTGTTACCTATAAGCTCTACATCAAGCAGTACACGACATTTATCTGTTACCTATAAGCTCTACATCAAGCAGTACACGACATATATCTGTTACCTATAAGCTGTGTGTCAAGCAGTACACGACATTTATCTGTTACCTATAAGCTCTACATCAAGCAGTACACGACATATATATGTTACCTATAAGCTCTACATCAAGCAGTACACGACATATATCTGTTACCTATAAGCTTTACATCAAGCAGTACACGGCATGTATATGTTACCTATAAGCTCTACATCAAGCAGTACACGACATATATCTGTTACCTATAAGCTTTACATCAAGCAGTACACGGCATGTATATGTTACCTATAAGCTCTACATCAAGCAGTACACGACATATATCTGTTACCTATAAGCTTTACATCAAGCAGTACACGGCATGTATATGTTACCTATAAGCTCTACATCAAGCAATACACGACATATATCTGTTACCTAAAAGCTCTACATCAAGCAGTACACGACATATATCTGTTACCTATAAGCTCTACATCAAGCAGTACACGACATATATCTGTTACCTGTAAGCTCTACATCAAGCAGTACACGACATATATCTGTTACCTATAAGCTCTACATCAAGCAGTACACGACATATATCTGTTACCTATAAGCTCTACATCAAGCAATACACGACATATATCTGTTACCTACAAGCTCTACATCAAGCAGTACACGGCATGTATCTGTTACCTATAAGCTGTGTGTCAAGCAGTACACGATATATATCTGTTACCTATAAGCTCTACATCAAGCAGTACACGACATATATCTGTTACCTATAAGCTGTGTGTCAAGCAATACACGACATATATCTGTTACCTATAAGCTCTACATCAAGCAGTACACGACATATATCTGTTACCTATAAGCTCTACATCAAGCAGTACACGGCATATATCTGTTACCTAAAAGCTGTGTGTCAAGCACTACATGACATATATCTGTTACCTATAAGCTCTACATCAAGCAATACACGACATATATCTGTTACCTATAAGCTCTACATCAAGCAGTACACGACATATATCTGTTATCTGTTAGCTGTGTGTCAAGCAGTACACGGTATGTATCTGTTACCTATAAGCTGTGTGTCAAGCAGTACACGACATATATCTGTTACCTATAAGCTGTGTGTCAAGCAGTA